CTCATCAGCACGGAAGGTAACTTCTGCGAGTGTAGCCTTATCCCTGTGGACATCCATGTGATTCCTTAAATACATGGGCCTGAACCGCCCTTCCAGGATCAGCCTGTGTTCTGCCTTGCAGAAACCTGGAGAGGCCTCATGGGGCTCGTTTAGTTCACACCTTTCCCCTCTTTGCAGAGAGTGATAATGAATTAAGGATATGGGTCTGAACTTTGTGGGACRTAGCTGCAGCTTGGAGTCGACTGCATGAGTTATGAATGGTGACAACGTGTCGTGAGAGCCCGTTTTGCAGAAAGGAACCCTGTATGTTCCTGGCATGGTCCTGAGCGGTACGTTCCTGCAGGACAGCGTATATTCCTGATTCTGCAGTGGAGGGAATGGCTCTAGGATAGCTTGATTATTGTACAGCCTTTGGGTGAAAGGAAACAGCAGAATCCTTGCTTGATGCAGTAATAAAATTGCAWCAATATTGTAAATAAGGGGGCTGGTCTCTTGTTTGGAAGCCCTGCAGAATGGTGGCCCGTGCGGTTCCGTGCGCTGCCTACGCTGCAGTGTGGTGTTGGGAGGGGAGAAGCCGGAGGCATCTCCCTTTGTCAGGCCTACTTGCAACACAGGGTAGCTGAGGCTTTGTTCTTGTTCATACTCTATATTTGTGCCTCTGAATGTGGGGCACGAACACACTTTAATGATGCTCCAGGCTTCCTCTGGAGGGAGGGCGGGYGGCGGTTGAGGCCCACGGCAATGCAGAATGGCAGCGGAGACGCCTCGGCTCTCCTAAGTTACCTGTCACAGGCTGTGGGGGAGGTCGGCGGGTTGAAGCGTTCAGAGGGGAGAATCCTTCCGTAAGGACTGAAACGGTGAGGTCAGGAGCTGCAGGGGAGGGCAAAGCCATTTGGTGCCTGCACCTGCGCGGCCAAGCGAGGGTTCCCGCACAGCGGGGAGCGCCTTGAGTTAGCTCCGACCCAGGCTGCACAGAATCATGGCACACGAGCCGTTTCTCCTTCTCAGTATGTGGCATGTGGCTGTTTCAGTGCCTGGTGTGACAGCAAGATGACTTGGGTGATTTCTGAGTATTAGGGATGCCCTTTCTCCTGRTCTGTCCCCAGTTCTTCATGTGATCTGATACGACCTTAGTAGGGACTGASTGTTCTGGCCTCCCTCTCCCTCTTTGCTATCTTGGTAGCTGTGTATTTGGCAGGGGCCCTCGACAGCCTTASTTGATCAACTGCAATAACTAATCACTTGTGCCAGGGTTCCTGTGGAGAGATGACCCGGGTTTCTTCACAGCATGCTCTGAACTGCGCTTTGTGTCACCTTAATGCATTCACGTAACTGAACGTTGCTATGTGGTAATTGTATAAGCAACAGTGACCAAGATACCAGGATTTTGCAGGGAGCGCGTTGCAGGGTTCGCTTCCGCTCCGCGGGGTGGAGAGTTCCTGTGTGCAGCAGAAGTTGCAGTTAAGGAGATAAGAGGTGACTCCAGAGGCTCCAAGTGCCGCTCGGCCCAGAGAGCCGGGCTGGTATCGCTGCCTTGCAGCCGGGCCAGCGCAGGGTGCTTCCTGCACCGCTCCGAAAGCAGATGAGTCACTGCTGGTTCCCGCGGGGTCACTTAAGGAACCCTAAGGAACCTGAGACGGGGACGGCAGTGGCAGCTCTTCCTGCGCTGGAGGAGGAGGAGAAGAATCTGCTTCTCCAACAGCTTCCCGCCGCCTCCCCCTTTGCAGCCTCTCTCCTGCATTTTTTAAACCTTAGCTCATTGTCTGGTGATGAGACTCGCATTCTTGCTGAGAATCATGGTGATACGGAAGTCTTCTCGGAGCCATCGCTAAAGCAAATAACCTGAGATGGAATTCCCAGCTTGTTCCATGAGCCTGGGAAGGGAAAGTGGCTGTGTGAAAGCCCCATGGCAGACCAGACAGGTATCAAGATGCCTGAACGCSATACACAATACCACATTCTTGCCACACAGCTGAACCTTCCTTTGCCAGCTTGCAGCACAGRGGAAAATCTGGTTTTAATTAAGTAGAACACGTCATTCTCATGATCCTTCCTCTTCTCCTTTGTCTCCGCTTGGGTGGACTGTGTGACTCTGTTGTCACCTCCTCCTCCAGATACCTAATGAATCCCCAGCCTGACGGGCAGGACTCGGGCCCGGCTGACACCGGCACCTTCCGTCTGCAGGAGCGAGCTGCCCGAGCGCCGCTCGGGGGGCATTTTTGGTGCCTTTGTGTCCCAACTCTTGAACTAGACTCGTGGAGACAGCTGCGATCGAAGGGCTGCATCTCTCCTAATGAAGTCCAGTTCTGACAGGCTGTTCAGTGGAGGCCTATAGTCTGTTCATGATTCCCATAAAATAAGTGAATTTTTGGTCGTGATAATAGTTCAGGTGCTGCTCGCTCTATTTGTTGCCTCCTTAGTACCTCTGGCAGGGTAATATTTTTATACAGATTCCCTCTAGGAGAGCGCTTGCCTCTGGCTATAATCATCTTGCCATTACCAGCTTTACTGTTCTGACCTAATAAAACTCCTCACTTGGTTACAGACACGCTTGCTTCTAAACGTGATCGGAAAAGTCCACGTGTCCTCRCGGAGCCGGGTGGGTTATTGCAGTGGGAGAATTCCTCTGCGGTTCCCTTCCRTGGGGATGAAGTGCCGGGAAGCGCTGCCGAGTTCCTGCTTTAACTGCACTCCGGGCCTGTAGTTTCTTGCCCAGACAACCTGATGCTATCGTGGCCGTTCTCATGCCTAGGGCAGGGACCCCATCTCTCTCTATTCACACGGTGATTGCTGGGTCTAATATAGTAATTTTAGGTGGTTTAGGAGCCGCTTCTGAGCGGCAGCCCATCATTAAGTGACCGGTAAAGGCAATACGATATCCCGCTTGCTTGGTGTTTTCCATTTGGGCTTGTGCTGCGAGCCAGCCTGGCTACCTGCTGCTGCTGCCACCCCAACGGGCAGCTCTGGTGCCCTTTCCACAGGCTCCGATGCTTTTTGGAGCCCTTCCAATGAGCAGAGCCAATTAGTCCCCTCAGTGGGAAGCTCGGTGTTTTTCGGCTTGGTTAGTAAGGTAAATCYGCTTGCAGGAGCCTCAGACGTGAGCAAGCAAGGTAAAGACGGGGCAGGCCTGGGGACGAGGTGTGAGACAGCCCCAAAAGAGCAGCAATAAGATCTGTGCCCTGCTGCTTGTGAAACTGTAGCCTTAGGCTGAGAAAAAACTGGGTTCAAAGAGTTGTGCCCAGTTGAGGGATTCAGCTTTGTTCCTCCTTTGCCTTGACATGTTTAGAAACTTGAAAATACCAAATGAAGGGTCTGACTCGCTGCAGTTCAGAAATATTTAACGCCTGTGTTTGTGGCCGCGATAACTGGCAGCAGCTCRGGGTAACCAGGCCATGAGGCTCCTGCATCCCCCTCTGGCTGTCCCTAACCTGCCCGCAGACCCCGTCTCCCGCAGGACTGCACCGTGCCGTTCCCAAGGCACGGGAAAGGAAGGGCATTCCCAAGCCCTTCATCGCCTGCATTAGCCCCGCTAGCACTGGWGATGTTTGTGTGTTGCAATTTGTCTGCTTTATTATTTTTGTCAGCTTTATACTAAAAAAAAAGGTACTATTGGGTATTATGTGCAGACCTTATAGCTGAACAGCATTTTTCTCGTAAGTAACTATAAGTGTATTTGCATTTTTTAATGTGAAGTCCTCTACGTTTTTGTCTCTGGCTTTTTCTGTTACTGGGRCTGATCAAAGGAATTCAGCAATACTGAGTCCCAAGAGGTGCTCCGTGTCCTTCCGCTCGTGTTTATTGCACATGGTGACTGCTCAAAGCTGGTCCGGTTCGGGAGGGAGGCCCTGGTGCCTGCGGGCTGCTTGTGCCACTGCTGTGGGCAGCTCTGGGTTAACGGCCCCTGGGGTCCCCTCCCCAGGGACCCAGTGTTGGCTGCCCCTGGTCACAGCAGGAGCTGCGTGGCCGGGACATGGAGCATCCTGCAGGTGCTCCCGGGGGAATCGTGGCGCTCGAGGAGCCTCTTGTGCCCCAGCTTATAGGCAGTATATCCGTGTGCCATGGTGCTTGGTTCACTGCCTAGGAAACTCGGCGTTTCCCCATGCGGCTGGACGCCCCAGGGGCAGCAAAAGGCTCCAGCGCCCGGGTCTCGCCCGGATGCGCAGCAACAAGCGCACGGGCTGCGTGGCACCGGCAGCCGCGCCGGGGGATAACGCAGCCCGGCTGCTCTCCGTGACGGACGGCTCCGTAATAGGCCAGAGGGGAGGCTGCCGCGGGAGGTTAATTCAGGCAGGGCTGGGAAAAGCCGGATTCCCTCCAGCGAGGGGGCGGGGGGGGGCCGGGGACCATCTGCTGCCCTAACAAAGAGCCGCCTCCAGGCCGCCCAGCAGGTACCGAGGGGCAGCCGGGGGCTGCGGGTGCTGCCGGGCTGCGCGCGGGTGCTGCGGGTGCTGCCGGCTGCCCGCGCCCCGAGCGCCCGCCCGCCCGCGCAGGCCGCCTCCCGCGCGCGCCCGCCGCCGCTGCCGGTGACGATTGGCTGCGTCCTGCTGCAGTGGGGACGCAGCCCGGGCCCCAGCCCCGCTGCTCGCTCCAGGTGCCGGCGGCGTGAGCTGGCGAGCGCAGGTTGCCTGGCAGCTCTGAGGGGCTCCTCTCGCAGAAGGCCTTCTTTTTTCCCCCTTTATTTTTTCCTGCTCTCCTCTTAAGCGCACCATCGCGGCGGTTCAGCCCAAGCCTTCTCCAAGCGTCTCGGCTTCTCCGTGCCAGAGGGCTGGCGCTTTGTCTCTTGCCACCAGATTTGTGAGGCGCCGGTACAATGAGCTGCTTGTCAGGCCAGGCACGAGCGCGCTAGCAGCAATTTCCCAAGGCAGGAGGCGGCCGCGGGAGCGCTCCGTAGAGCATCCGAGCCCGTGGCGCTGCTGCCTGACCCTCCCGCTGGCTGCCGCGCCGCTCCTGGGCACGGTTGCTCCGGCCTCGGCGGCTCCCGCGCGCCGCGCTTCCCCGGCCGGGATGCTCCCGGGAGCAGCAGTGCTGCACACCCTGTGGCGCTTTCTGTCCAGCTTCCTCGCCAGGGCCGCGTGCCAAGGTTCTGCAGAGGAAAAGGAGGATGAGGCYGGGAGCAGCACCCCACTTCCAGGCCCCGGGGAGAAAGGGCCAAAGGTGCCGGGGAAGCCACAGGACAGAGGGACTGATCCCACTGAAAGGAGACCAACTATCCTGCTGGTGGTTGGACCCGCAGAGCATTTTCCAAAGGTAATGGGATATCCAGGGGGCCTGAGCAGGGGGCGGCGCGTGGGGTCTGCCGGGGGCAGCGCAAAGGGCCCCCGTGTCTGTGTGCCCGCGTGGGGGGCACTGCGGGGCACTGGGGAGAGGGGCAGGGTCTGATGCGTGCGCTCGCTGGGTGGGCAAGTGGGGGGAGCGGCGGGATGACTAAGAGAAGCGGCGACTTGGCCTTCCAGGCGTGATGCTTAAAGGAGGGAATTGCTTTTGGGGGCACGAGGGAATACRCTGGGTCCTGAAGCTGCCTCAGTCACTTGTAGGAAGCGTAACCGAGATGGCAGGGGATGATAACGCGGGTTAGTGGGGAGTCCCAGCCCTGCGCCGGAGCCTGGCAAGGGATCACCRGAGCTCCAGAAACGTTCTAGGCTCGCTCCCTGGCAATTCAGCCCTCTGGGAATTCCCAGGAACCAGAATGTCCTGAGCAAAGCGGGAACCGCCGGGGGGCTGTGAGGGGCCCAGCACGGTGGAAGGGAAAGCCTATCCCTGTGGAGCCTTCGGAGGCTCCGGAACGTGCCGGGAGCCGGTGCCTTCCTGAGGGCTGGGAGAAGGGRGCCGGCTGGGGGAGCCCACTGCAGGGGAAGCAGCTCCRGGGCTTTGTCTGGGCGAACAAAAGCTGCTGGTTTGGAGCCTGCGGGCACGGAACAGCCTTGGCCGGCTGCAGCTTGTATCCGCCGGGGAGGCACCGCTGCTCTGCCCCCCGCGCTCGGGGCCGCTGGGGGTGACTGGTTTATGAGCAAGGGCGTCCCCTGCGATTAGCGGGAGAGGGAGGCGTAACCCTGCAAGCCCGGAATAATAATATTCCCGCAGCCTGGAATAATAACGCTCAGGGAGGGACCGCAGCGGCGGCCGTGCTGGGTGACTTGCAGGATCCCGCTTATCCGATAGGGAACGGGGTGTAGCTGTTGCTCTGAGCTTTCTCCCCAAAATGGGGCCGGGCAGATGCAGAGAGGACTCTCTGCGGGTAGTTTGGCTGGCAATGGGCAGGGCAATTCCCTGTTGTGGGKAATAAAGCCACTCCCTGCCTCAATCCAAGCCTCAATCCAACCACTGGGAAACCTGCAGGGGCTTTTGCCTTCATCAGCACTCCAGCAATTAGCRGTGGGCCTCCCTCCCAAAAGAGTAGGGGGTGCGGGGTGGGATGAAGAGCACCCCTGTGTGCCCGGGCTGAGCAAGGACAGAGGCTCAAGGAGCCGAGGGAGGTGCTGATGAAAACCTTGGAGGAGCAGAGCTGAACATCTTGGTCCCTTCCAAGGGGAACAAAGCCCTACAGTCAGGGAGAGTCGATCCGTCCACACCTGCAAATGAAGCTTTGTCTGAAAGGGGGGGGGAATTGATACCAATCTCCTCCTTCCACCTGACCCTGGAAAGCTTTGCTTTGTAGGAACCCTAAAACTGGCTAATGGAGAGTGATGTAGTGCATGTGATGATATAATAAGGGCATGTGGTAAAATGGAGTTGAGTTACTGCAGCTTAGGAGGTAACTGCCCATCTGCTAGGAGGTTGTGACTGTAATTTTAGCCTGCCCTGGTTGTAAAGTAAGACGGCGTAAAGCGCTTGGGCTGGGGATTATGCAAATGTGCTGTACCTTGCAATTCAGAGGGCTGCAACCCGGTCCTCATGGCTCAGCTGAAGGATGGGAGCTTGCTAAGCTGCAGTGACTTGTGTGCGCTGCATCATGGATCTGTGATCAGAGAAACTGGGTCTTCTCTGCAAAAAATGCAATACAGCATCAGAYATGGATTCAAACTTACCATGAGGACCAGCTATTATTTGGTGTTTAAGGAAAAAGTGGGAGATGCCAGAATTCGTTCTCTGCTACTGTATGTCTGTGACCTTGCAGTAAGTCTCTTAACTGCTCCGTCACTGCGTTTGGCAAAAACGCCTCTACTTACGTGCTAAAACCATCTAACCATTTGAAATACCRCGTTGAGGTCCTGTAAGGGATTTACAGTATTGAGCTTGATCCGAGGTGTTTCCTATTTGAACTGTTTGGTCCTCGCTGCGTGTCGAGGCGCTTCTGCTCAGATCCCTGCGCGAAGGAGGCCGCCTCAAAGGCAGGCGGCTCCTTGGGCGGAAAACCCTGCGGCTGCTGCACGTGTGTACAGAGGAGGGCGACAATCTGCCCCCGGCGCCGTCCGGTGGACTTGTGACTTTGGCTCGCCGTGTTGTCAGGGGAAGAGGTCACCCCTGCCGGAGTCGCTGTTTCTACGTCAACCGCTGATCTCGTGTCGTCTGCCTTGCCCAGCCTCGGTCGACTGCTGCTCTTTGCGCTGTTGGGGTCTCTTAAATGATTAACTGCCTTCCCCGCATACCCTTTACACCGTTGTTCTGTGATTTGTTAGGACTTTCTGTTCCGTGCAATTAATTATAAGCTAGTTTCCAGAAAAACAGCAGTCAGCAGGAAATGCTGGTGGGACCTGCCGAGCACTKGGGGCAGCCGTGGTCCCCTCTGCCCGGGCAATCCGTGTCCGGAAAGCTCCGAGGAGGAGGCAGGATGTTAGCTATRGAGCTGTGACACCAAAACTGGCCCTTGGTATTTTTATAGCCAGGGGTTTTCTCACCAAAGCCCATTCAAAGCTAAAGAGCATCCTTTTCAGCTCCTTGTAAGGCAGCATCCTGCCCTCAGGAGGTGCTTTCCGGAACCGAGGCACTAAATGGGCCAGGAAGCAGATGCCTGGGCGACTACGAACAACTTGGAGAGGGTCACGGCTAAACGGCAGGATGTTGAAACTCCTAACTCGTGCTGCGCGGAACTGGGAGCCGGGAAGAAACGGGAAATGGAATCTGTGGCTTTTTCTCGTGGTTTTGTGCCCTGTCCTTGGCTTGACAGAGAGGCCGCAATAAGGGCCCCAGTGTCGGCAGCTCCTCGCGAGCCCCTCGGAGCCGCTGGGGCTGGGCTGGCCTCAGAGCCCTCCTGCTTTGCTGCTCCCAATCTCACTGCTGGGTTTCCCTTTTTAACCATCTCTGTGAACTCGCTACCGTTTTCTTCCTCATTGTGACTATGGTAGCTGGTATAAACTTCACTTCTAATCTGTCTCTTCTGCTTAGCTCACTGCCCTGTAATTAAAACCCTGCTTCAAATCCACTTTCTTAGCCTCATTACCTCTCTTGTTTCCGCTGACGTAGATAGCAGGACTTTCTTTCCTAAAATGTGCAGATTTTGCCTTTTTTTTTCCTTTTCGGTCTCGAGCTGCCAAGCGAGGATGGAGTTTATTAGGGAAAGCTGCATCACGTCGGCATGGCGACGGCGCTGCCAACCGCGCACCGAAGCCTTGGCAGCTCGTGGGAAGGAGCCTGCAGGGCCCTAATTCTCCACGGAACGAGCCCAAATCCCCGTTTTTTCACCTAATCCCCGAGGTCGGTCCCGGGGGGGCCGGGATGGTGCTTGTGGCCGGGCYTGGCCCTGCCGTCGGCGGCTGCCTAGCGAGCTGCTGTGCTCAGTGTAAGAGGATGTGGGCGCCCTGAGGAGATCGTGGGGCYTTTTCTTTCCCTGTTGTGCAGAGGGACGTCAGCAAGGGAGCAGGTTGAGGCCGGTTAGGTAACGCGGCACGGTAGGTGAGAGGGCTGGACAGAGGTCCTGATTCCCCCAGGAWCCAATTTGCCCCATTAAGCTTCTTAAAAATCCTTGAAACAACCCCTCTGATCACATAGCCCCAACTCATGCAGCTGACGCGCAGCAAAGAGCTTATTAAGGGTCATTTTTCTCCATTCCTTTTAATTCTGAAGAACAAAACCCATCAGTGAAGATGGGAAGGCCCCTTGCTCCTCAGAGGCGAGGGGAGCCGCGGGGACCTTTGCACCGGCCAGACAAGCTGTTTGCACAGAGCAAACAGAGGAAAACTGAGGCAGGGAAAGCTCTTAGCTGGCTGAACCTGGTCAGCAAACCCRCCTCGTTACCTCAAGTGCAGGCAGGACTACGATGTCTGCAAAGCTTGGCTCTAAATTGCCTCTCTCTCATATGGTAGCCTCTCTTTGCAAACGTCTCTTTATTCYACGTCTCAGATAAGTGAGAGGGTGTCCTGTAACTGAGCTTTTCARTTTGGTCTCCCTGCTTCTCCTTCGGTCTCCCTGCTGTAACACGAGGTGTTATCCCATGCATCAAACTCCATTAAATGCTCAGCAGCCTGTAATTATATCCCCGGTTAATGATGCATGTGCCACGCTGCCTCTCGGCCCGACCTGTTCTCTGTGAAGCTCAGGAACTCGCTCCCAAAGCCCTTAAACTGTTAAATGGTAAAAACTGGAAAATCTTGTTCTGTCCRGCCGCTTTTCATTCAAATGCACCAGCAATTGAAATGTGTAATTGCAATTGGATGAGGAGGATGAATTAGCACYGTGTCCTTGCGGCCGCTCGGCTTTGCTCCGGAGCGACCCTGTCTGTTTGGAAACCTGCTCTGGATTTTGATGGTTTCCTGGGTATAAAGTTTAAGGGCAGACCTTCTCCCAACACTTCTGTTGTCTGTGTTAATAATTCCGAAGTGCTGCTGAGGAGAACTTGGTCTGTCCATGGGTCACCTGCTCCTAGACGGCACCAAGCCGGCTCCTAGCCGGTTTTCCAAGAGTTTCTTGGAAAACTCCCAGCTAAAAGCTAGTCAGCTCTGATGCAGTGAAGCAGCTTTTATAGAAAGGAAATATTGAGGCTTTTGTTGAAGGTTGGTGTCCCAGGGGTGGTAGGCGAGCAGCAAGCGCATGTGTCCCCTATCGGAGGCAGTTTTGGGAAGAGGAGGGTGACGACCACCCCTTTGCRTTTTATGATGGAGCTCACGATCGACTCCTCCTCCTCTGTGTGCAGCAGCCCCTGGAAGGGCCAGAAGAGGATGAGGAGGAATGGGATCGATGCAGGGAGCAGCAGGGAAGCGTCTGGGCTGTGTGCCAGGGCCGCCGGAGACGCCTGCCGAGAGCTAACCTCTGGTGAGGGTGATGTAAGGTCCGCGTGGCTCAATGGGTGTTGAGCAAGCGGAGGCTGTTCAGAGGCCGCCCCCGGATCCGCTGCCTCGCGGGGTGGAACGCAGCGACTCCGGCTTCCCTTTTAAGTCGAAGGGCCGGGCGCGCGCAGCCAATCGCGCCCGCGCCGCGCAGCTCATAGGCTGCCGGCATGAGACTCGCSGGCATTGCCTGCGCGCCGCGCGCCCGCTCCCGCTCCGCGAGCCGCTCCGCGCCGCTTCCCGTCGCTTCCCCGTGAGCAGCAGGGCGGCCGCGCTCGCGACGATGCTCTGCCTCTGTCTGTACGTGCCGCTGCTCGGCGAGTCCCAGGCCGAGTTCCAGTACTTCGAGTCCAAGGGGCTGCCGGCCGAGCTCAAGTCTATCTTCCGCCTCAGCCTCCTCATTCCTTCCCAGGAATTCTCCACCTATCGCCAATGGAAGCAGGTATGGCCGGGAGGGAGAGGAGGGAATGAGCAGCTCACRCTGGATAGCACCCACAGCGCGGAGCTAGAGGGGCAGCACCTGGTACAGCTGTGCTGTTAAGAGCAGGAACAGCTGGGGCCACTTTCTTCTGCTGCTTGCCAGGAGTTATGCAGTGCCACAACAGGGTCTTTCTTTCTGATTCCTGACATTTGAATTACACACAGCTCTRTGCCTCTGGGACTGTTTAAACCAGTTGCTTTTGAAGTAAGCTAAATATTAAAAGCTTTTTTTAATTTATTTTTTCCTTCTTCTCCTCTCCTGAGTGGGGATTCCTCAGCTTCGACTGACTCATCTTTTCACATCCCCTTCCTTTTCCTTGCGCCCCTCCCCTCGTCCCAGTTCTGGCAGGAAGCGTGCAATTATGTCAGCGCAAGCCGTGGTGCCGTTTTGGCCGGGGGAAGCGGAGCAGAGCGGGCTGGCAGCTGGATTTGCCCCGGGCAAACCGTGCACGAGGTGGGCGCAGGTCTGCGCGTCACACACCTCCGTTTCCAGCGGATGCTCCCGGCTGGTACCCAAGGCCGTGCCATTGAGAGCACGCACACCTGGTTATTAAACAGCAAAGCCTGTGGGCTCTTCTGATACCTCTGAAACTGGGGACATAGAATGGTTGAGGGTGGAAGGAACCTCTGGAGATCATCCAGTCCAACCCCCCTGCTCCAGCAGGGACACCCAGAGCACGGGGCACAGGGCGGCATCCAGGCGGGTTTGGAAGATCTCCAGAGAAGGAGACTCCACAGCCTCCCTGGGCAGCCTGTTCCGGGCTCTGTCACCCTCACAGTGAAGAAGCTCCTCCTCACATGGAGATGGAACTGCCTGGGTTTCAACTTGTACCCATTGCCCCTTGTCCTGTCACTGGCCACCACTGAGAAGAGCTATAGCATATAACTCTTAGCATATAACTGCAGTATCTAACTCATAGCAGATTTAAAGCAGGTGTGCTGCAGGAGCAGCGTGTGGTGCCGGTACCCGTGGAAACAACAGCAGCAAGAAGCTGCTGAGGAGCAGCCCTGTGTGCAGAGCTCAGCTAAACACCTCCGCAGAGGTGCTCGTATTTGCTGGTAAAGGCAGAGAGGTACCGGGAGAGACTGGCTGCTGCCTCTGGGGGAGATGCTGGCAGCCTCGTCCTTTGCCAGCTGCCTTTGCAGCTTGCGCTTCTGTGGCGCTTTGGCATAGGGCGTTTGGAGCGGCAGGGCTGGCGGCGCAGGGTCTCCGGCATTGCGGGGTCTCCGGCAGYGCGTTCCGCGGCTCTGGTGCCGCGGGGACGGCTGCGCCATCGGATCTCACGGCGTCTCCCGTGGCCGGCGGGCAGGGGCTGCCGGCGTTCCCGCGGGAGGGAAGCCCCGCGCGGGCAGCCCGCCCCGCTGCCGCGAGCGCCTCTATGTTTAGCGCGCGGGTTCACCGCRGGGCCGCCCGCGAACTTTACAGCCGTCATACGAGCCGCTGCAGCGCGAGAACGCCGCGCGCCTCGCAAAGGTCACCGCGCCGCCCGGCGCTCCCAAAGCCACGAGGGAAACTTGAACAGCGTTGGGGCTCRAGTGACCCTTAGCGCAGGAGTGAGACAGCAGAATCCTCACGGTGAAGCCCTTGGTGTCAGCGTCTCGTACTATGGCAGGGCAGTAAAGGCTTGTGCTGGTGCAGGGGATGTCCCCGTGGGCAGGGCGAGTATGATAAGTTGAAGCTTACCTAAATGTTGGTGAGTGGAGGGTTAGACCCAACAGAGTAGGTGAAGCGGCCTGAATCACATCCTGTTTAGTTTTGGTCATTGATTTATGTTGAGAAAGGCTTRCAGGCTGTCAGAAGAAACTGGGTGAATGGGAAGGGGAGAGGGAACTTCCAGAGCCACGTTCCTGCTGTCTAGGGATCACCAGCCCTGTGAACCAGTGGCCGGGAGCCCTCAGGTAGGASCCTCCATAGGCCATTGCCTCAGGAGGAGCGGGGTCAACTGCTGGCTTCTCTGTTGTCCCAGATGTCTGACAGCATCTGATCTTGCTCCAAGCTGTGTCCTATTAAAAACCTTCTCTTGTTCCGTGTGCATCTCACGGGAACTCGTGCAGTTAAAGCACATAGCTGCAGGGGAGCCAAGCCAGTTCACTGGCATTTTCATTCTTCATCTGTGTCCACTGGAGCTGCACAGGTTTATTCTGGTTGCAGTTGGTGGTTGCCAGGCTGGCTCGCTTCTTTAAGCATCTTATGGGGCGTGAAATTTCCCCTCTCATTTAGGTGATTTTATTGCCTGAAGTTCTGTGGTTCACTTTTTAGGCAGCTCTCTTGCCTCATGCTCCATCCAGGTGGAGGCTCTTGCATAACACTTTACACAACCCGATTCAAGATACAAGGCTGAGATTAGGTGCATGATACTGGCCAAGTGCCCCGATAGGAACATGAGATGTTTGGGCTGCATGACTAGCTTTGGGAGGGCAGGTGACTTTCCTTCTGCATTTAATTTTTTTAAAGCATTGTCATAAAACTGTCACTTTCTAGGTGGAAAACCAAGTCATCTAGGAAATATCTTCAGATATAGTGGGAAAAGGATCAGATCTGTCTGAATGACCAAAGGAATCAACTGTTTTTCGTTGTCTTTCCTTACAGAAAATTGTGAAGGCAGGAGACAAAGACCTTGATGGACAACTGGACTTTGAGGAGTTTGTTCACTATCTCCAAGATCACGAGAAGAAGCTGAGACTGGTTTTCAAGAGTCTAGATAAGAAAAATGATGGTAAACACCTTGCTCCCATCATGAAGAGACTGTTGATGTGTGAACTTATAGTACGTTAATACATAACCAGTGGCTTATCTTTGCAGGCCGTATTGATGCCCAGGAGATTGTACAGTCTCTTCGGGACCTGGGAGTCAAGATCTCGGAGCAGCAGGCTGAGAAAATACTGAAGAGGTGAGGATTCAGCTGGTCCTTATGTTTAGTGAACAGAAGAAGTTAGATGGAGGTGTGAGGATATGGAACCTGGCTCCTCATTCTGCCCCGCACACACTGTCGAGAGACTCTGGCTCCTTCCTTTTTGCCTGCTCTTCATCTTGATTTTTCCATGAGTTGAACCTTTTAGGGCTGTAATGCATTATGGAGAGTCACTGTCAGAATCTCTCTTGCTGCCCTGTGTAGGAAGGGGCACCTTTGCACCCCTGTCTGGATGTCCTCTTGCCCTGAGCTTGCTGCTTTGGAGAGGGACTGTGCAGTTGCTGTTTGGAAATGCTCAGTGCTTTGTGCATGTGGCACTAACATGTGAACAACCACTTATTTGTGCTGTTTTTTTCCTCTTTCTTTCCTCTGCAACCTTCCCTCTGTCTGTTTGCCTGTGTGTCAGAATAAGGACGGGACACTTCTGGGGTCCTGTCACCTAGTAAGTATTCTTTTCCCTTCAGTGTCAGTTCTGTTGGCCTAACTTTGGTAGGAGGGGGAGCAGCAACTCCTGTGATTCAGTTAAAGGGGAGAGAGGAAAAAAAGGGAGCCTATTTTTGGCTCCCTTTATTGTTTGGTGAAGACTCCCTAGCTGTGTGTTGTGTCTCTCTTTAGAAAGCTTTTGGTAGCTGCTTTGCAAAAATGTTTTGTTGTAGGCTTGAATAATCAAAGAGAAGGGGAGGAGGAATTGGCCTCCTGAGGGGAGCCTGTGCTCATCTCCTGTAAATCTTTTTAGCATGGATAAAAACGGGACAATGACAATTGACTGGAATGAGTGGCGAGACTATCACCTGTTGCACCCAGTGGAGAACATTCCTGAAATCATCCTGTACTGGAAGCACTCTACGGTAAGAAATGAATCCTCCGCCTTAATATAGGTCCTTGTCGTCTTCCAGCTTCTTTGTGAAAGTTCCAGCCCCCAGGAGCTGCTGCTGGCCACGTCTATCTTCTCTTCATGGTTCAGTAGCTGCCTTGTAGCCCTGGAAGCCGAATTGCTTCCTGTCCTGTTATTTTGCCGTCTCTCACCTGCACACGTGACAACAGCCGCACGTTCTGCAGGCTGGGGAGCACGTCCAGTTTGCACGTCYTGTACCTCTGAGCTCAGACCAGCGTGTCCAGCTCTTGCTAGTTCAGAACCTGTCAAGACTAGAAACTGATAAACTGATAGAACAGGCAGCTGTCCTTTCTGGAGATCTTTAATGTGTGTGTAGCATGTAACGAGATTAAACTGGCTGTAAACTCAGAAAGTTCCAGAACAGTCCAGCTTTTCCCCATGCAGCTGCCCACAGTTAATCATTTTGATCATTAGTATGATCCACAGTGTTTTAATATGGGTAAAGTGTTCAGCAGTTCTCAGCTTCCTTCTAGTGCAAAGGGTCCCCTTGTGACATGCTGAGCATTCCCTAGCAGTGCTGTTGCCTGTGGCTAGATACGGTAGTTAAGGTTATAGATAAGCTGCTGATTTGGAAACAAGCACATTCAGAGCTTCAACACTTAGCACTGATAAAGAGCAATAACTCAGCAAGATTGCTGACTGATTAAATGTTTCTCAACACCTTATGCTTGTGCAGATCTTCGATGTAGGAGAGAATTTGACTGTCCCTGATGAGTTCACAGTGGAAGAGAGGCAGACGGGGATGTGGTGGAGACACCTGGTTGCAGGTGGAGGTGCCGGGGCAGTGTCCAGAACCTGCACGGCTCCCTTGGATCGCCTGAAAGTGCTCATGCAGGTAAGATGGAATCATTTTGGTTTGTCTAAATACCCAGCCTGAATCCTTTAATCTTTTGGCCCATGTGATGCCTAGGAGATGATAGTGTCTGTCAGCACAGTGCAACACTGGCTGGCATTAATCTCCTTACTCTCATGTTGGTGTTTTTTGAAAGCTTTTTAGATTGACTTATAAAAGTCACATTGAAAAGTAATTCTTCACTGACTAGAGAAAAGATACTGACTAGAAAGGATGTAGAGAAGGTTTGAGGAGATGGATGTGTGAAAATTTATCAGAGAACTTTGTACTTCAGAGAACAGGAAAATTTGGCCTTTGAAATAGGTTCGAGTCTTGTGTTTCCATGAAAGTGGCTGTGCTGATCAGCTGATAAAGCTGCTCGTTAGTATAAATATTTTTTATTGGTCATTCCTTTCTAATATTGATTTGAAACTGCATTGTCATTGTACCTGCTCTTTAGCCAGCTGAGAAGTCTATTTCTCTGGGTACGTAGCCCCATGCTAGGCTGTGGGAGCTGCTAGTTTTACCCAGCTTCCCATTCCAGAGGGAGATGTTGATTAAATTCATTAGTCAACTAACATTAGGCTTTGCAAAAAGGAAAAGAAGCTTGCTTTCCTATTGTGAAAGTTATCTGGAAGGGATTAGAGCCTTGGTAAATCTCTGGGCAAATAAAAAGTGCCCTTTTGTCCCAGGATTACGGAAGAACATAGTACTGTCGTAATCAGGACTGGAAGTGATCCAAGCTCGCTCTCTCTCTCGCTCCCAGGTTCATGCCTCCCGCAGTAACAACATGTGCATCATTGGTGGCTTTACTCAAATGATCCGAGAGGGTGGACCAAGGTCCCTGTGGCGAGGGAATGGCATCAACGTGTTGAAGATAGCACCAGAATCTGCCATTAAATTCATGGCCTATGAGCAGGTGAGTAAAAGCGCAGGGAGGAATCTCACTGCAAAGATCTTCATCTGGCTCCTGATGAAGAGGAAGGCTGAGATACAGTCAGTGAGCTTCAATGTTTCTTCCTTCTTTCCTTCCACAGATCAAGAGGTTCATTGGTACTGACCAGGAGATGCTGAGGATTCATGAGCGGCTCTTGGCTGGGTCCCTGGCTGGGGCCATTGCACAGAGCAGCATCTACCCGATGGAGGTAACTACAAACCCAGGTGGCTACAAACCCAGGTGGTTTGTAGCCCAGGCCGTGAGGGCTCATGGAAGGTGCTTTGGTAGATCTTCATGGCCTTTAATCTTGCCCCCTAGGTTCTGAAAACACGGATGGCTCTAAGAAAGACGGGACAATATTCAGGCATGTTGGACTGTGCCAAAAACATCCTTTCAAAGGAAGGAATGGCTGCCTTCTACAAAGGCTACATCCCCAACATGCTAGGAATCATTCCATATGCTGGTATCGACCTGGCAGTCTATGAGGTATGAGGCATTTAACCCTTTTGTAGGGCTGTGCTACTTGGGTAGTTTTATTGCTTTCATACCTTTCAGTTAATATAAATGATTAAAATCACTTTTCAAAGTCTTCCTGATAARTCTGATAAAAGAACACAAGGGGATTTTAGCCCAAAGGCCATAAAAGATAATCCAGTACAGTGGATTCTCTTCCTTTCCTTGTCAATAACCTGCATGATCCCTTTTTTGATAAAGGAATTAAGACAGGAAATGAAAGAAGGTGTGGGTGTTTTTTTCCCTCCTGCCCGGTAGCAGTAACTCAAGGTGATCTGAGAAACCTGATGGGGCTGGCTGAAACTGAAACTGTACATACTTCCCTGTGCCTTTTACTCTAGACTAATCTTATGTAATCTGATATCCTTCTGATGGCCACTTCATTGCTAACATCTGCCTTGTTTCCTCCAGACACTAAAAAACGCCTGGCTGCAACGCTATGCTGTCAACAGCGCTGATCCTGGAGTTTTTGTTCTGTTGGCCTGTGGCACCATCTCCAGCACGTGTGGACAGCTYGCCAGTTACCCCTTGGCTCTAGTGAGGACACGCATGCAGGCCCAAGGTGAGAACTTCTGGGAACTCTGTGATATTGTGTGAGCTACTGCCATGGTCATCAAGCAGGCTAAAGGTCCTCTAGTGTAAACGTTGCAACAGCAGCCTCGGTTAACCTGAGCAGATGCTGTTTGCCACGCTGAAAGGGGACAACGGACTTTGTCCTTTAGCATTTGCAGTCAGGCACCTCCAGGACAGCAATTTTGCTTGAGTCACCTTGGAGTTCTGGGCTTAAGGCCTCTGAAAAGCAGGTTAAGAAAATGGTTGCGTTGCAGCACAGCTATGTCTTGATGATTACTCAGATGTTGTCCCTCACAAAACCCCTTTGAACAGCCCCGTAAAGTGCATGAGTCAAAACTGCTCTCTGGGGCAGGTCTTAGTTTGAAGTGGTWTTACCAGGTAGGCTGTGTTATTTATTGTCACTTTTCCTCCTGCAGCTTCAGTCGAGGGTGCTCCAGAAGTGACCATGAGGGGACTGTTCAAACACATTCTGAAGACAGAGGGAGCATTTGGTCTCTACCGGGGTCTGGCCCCGAACTTTATGAAGGTGATCCCAGCCGTGAGCATCAGCTATGTGGTGTATGAGAACTTGAAGATGACTCTGGGTGTGCAGTCACGGTGACCAGGAGATGCGGAGGACTCTGAACTCTGAAATCTTGGGTGGCGATCCCAAGACGTTTAGCCATCTCTCATTCTGTGAATGTGTTGACACTAAGCTGACTAAGCAAAGCTGTGAAATCTCAGATAGTGTGTGAGTCAGTAAGGGTGAGGGGAGGATCTGGCGTCCTTTGCCATCTTGCTACTCAAAGCTTTCACACACCATCATGTGGCCCTTTTTGTTGGGCCCTTGGGGAGCTGGGATCTGCTGCTGAGAGAATCTAAACACGTGAGTTGCTGCAGGCAGTTCCTAGCAGTGCAGCAGAGTAGCAAGGATCTGGGAACAGGTCTGCTTTCAGCATATTACATGTACAGAGCTGTTTGCCAGCGGATGAGCACCTTCTGACTTGCTGAAAGAGCTTCTTTTCCATTCAGTTGTTTAACTTCCTACCCGCCGTTTAAATTTGTACAAACCTTGTGTAGGAGCTGCTGCCGCACCAGGCTTGTTCAGTATGTTTACATATATTCCTTTGGGTAGGAGACCTTCATGTTCTGCTTCCAAGACTTGACATGAAATGTAACTTTGAACTATACTGTTTTTTTCGAGGGCTGGTGGGCAGTGGTTTAATCCAGTCAGGCTGAAGATTACTTAGGCCAGCCTGGTGAAGAATTAGGATTATTTATTTTTATAGGTTTAAGTGTGTCTCCTAAATCCACTAACAAGATGCACTTACTAACAGAAGCAGCAGACTAGAGCCTGCATGCCTGTATCCTTTGCATGCTGGAACTGGCTTGTCGTATACTCAGCAGGGGCTTGGAAAGGGGCAGGCCGAGAGCGCCCTGGATGGACTGGCACCTTGATGCATGGCTTTAGTGAAAAAATGACAATATTTCACCGCTCCTGCGCGGCTGTGCTCCCAGCACGGCCCGAGAGCCCCTGTGCAGCATTGCATGGATCTCTGAATTTCATTCTGCCTGGTGCCAAGGCTAGATGACGGCCCTCTTCCAAACCCTGTGCCTATGCTGCTATCTATCTCTGTAGACCTCTTTGTAGATTGCTGTTCAGGTTTGCATTAGAGGGATGGAGCCTCCACACCAGGAGCACATCTGCGCTGTGCTGGGGAGAGGGGTGGTTGTCATTGGGAAGGGTGAGCTTTCAGTCCTGGAGACAGCTGCTTGCTTTTCTTTCAAAGGGTGCTTTTCATAAGGCTGAGGGAAAGAGTTGGCTTTAAAATTTCTCTTGACTGCATTATGGGCTACTTTAGTTGATAGGATCAGGCTTCTGAGGCCTGGGAGATCCTCATCCAACTTTTCATTTTGGGCAAAACGGACCAGCGTTGCATTCCACTGTTTTACTGCTTAAAGCATATTTATTTTGTATTTATTTGAACAGAGTTATGTCAAACTATTTTTATAGRCTTGTTTAAATATTGTTACTGTGCTTGTATTTCTCCTGTTTTTAAAAAGTTCTCTATTTGTTCTCTTACATCACGCAGCTGAGTCGTGGGGAAGCACACTGAAGTCACTAGTGCTCTTCCTCTCTGGGGCTTGAGCTGCCTTCCCCACACCTGGGGCTGTTGCTGGAGGACCTGGGCCCAGAGAAATTCTGCAGTGAGAAGCCTTGGGAGAGAAGGGAACCAGTGAGGGAGCAGTCCATTGGGATGAGGGGAAGAGGGTGCGATGTGGGGCTTGCCCTATTATGGAGTTGACCCTATACGTGGTGGAAAGGGTTGCAGGTGGATGGCCGGAGTCGGGACGTTGAAGGTTCGTGCATGTCGTATGGCACAGCGGCTGTTTAAGAGGTTCTTGGGGTATTTTTAGGTAAAGGAGGGAGGGGAGAAATCTCAGGGACTAAATTACGTCCAAGTTTCCAGCGAGGTGGAATAAAGCATGCACTTGGACACAAGCTGCTGCGGTTGTGCTTGAGGCTGAGTCAGCAGATCCCACTGCTGAGCCAGAGCTTTCCACATGGCACCGGGGAAGTTTGGGAAATCAGGAAGGGATTTGTTAGCACTCAGCAGCTGCTTTTGGACTCACAGGCTTTGGTGGCTCATGGAGAACCTTCCAGGTGAGCTTTTCTACCCTGACTACCCAGTGCTGTCAGTAGCCCTGTGGAAATCTAACCTGGTATCTGGATTACTGACATGATTTTTTTTCCATCCCCCTGTTTTTTTGAGACCTGCCATAAATTCTGCAGTGGCTCCTTCCTACCAGTGTGGCCTAATGGGAAAAATTCAGAGTGCAAAAATCAATGCAAAATGACAACTGTCTCTGTAGCTGTAACCACAAATCGTTATAATGCAAATCTAACTCAGATTCTTCATGTAGGGAACAGTCTGCTAATAAAGGTCTGTCAAAGAGATGCCGCTTGCCTGTGTTTCTTGCTCCGTGGGTTATTGGTGCCGTCTGTGGCCAGACTCTTCCTGGAATGATTCACAGGTTGCAGATGCTGGGAATCATCTGCCCTGCCTGGGACCTGGACCTGGGAGAACAGAATGGTTTATAAAGGAAAAAACCAGCAYAACCAAGGTCAGATCTAATAATGGCAGAGAGGAGTCAAGGATGTTCAGCTACTGTTAACTTGTCTCTGCTGAACCTTGTTTCTCTATTCAGTTGTTTTTTCTTTCTCTGAGAACTGAGCCTCCCAGGAAAACTGGACGGGGCAGCGTTTTCAATTATGCTCTTGAAAGAATTGGGCTTAAAGTTTCAAAAACAAAGCCTTTGTACTTTTCCTCTTTTTTTTTTTTTTTTTTAAAGAGTAACCCTTTGAAGGCCAGTGAAAATCATAGCTGGTAGCAAAAGTGCCTTCTAATTTGGTTTAGAGTCCCTGTGGACACCAGCCCAGGGTGTTACTGGTTGCTCATGTCTGCGGCTGTAACTTGARGCTTTCATTCAGCTATAAATCTCCTTGTGAAGTCCACGTCCTTGGAATCCGAGCAGCTGCTTTTCCTGTGGTGTCAGCTCCAGTCAGCTGAGACGCTTATCGGCCTTTCCAGCCCGCTCGAGGCCGCTCCAGCAGCGCTGCCCTCCGGCCGGCCGGCTCCTCAAGGCCGGGGGGTTCAACCCCCTCCATCGAGGGGCTCTTGAAGGGAGGGCTGCCCGGGGACCTGCAAGCCTCAGCCTGGGCCTAGGGAACCTGGACTAGCCTTGGCGCGGCTCRGCGCTATCCTAGCGGATGCCAGAGGCCCCGCTCCAGGAGGATGCCTCGTAAAAGCTGCCTTACAGAGCAAGGAGAGGCCAGCGCTGCCGGGAGGAGGAGGAGGACTCTGCTATGCTCCCTCGGGCTCGTCTCTTTTTCCTTTTTAAGGAAGAAGGATATTTTGAGTGCTTAATTACTAGGTTAGAATGGAGACTGAATTACCTTCCAGACACACAGTAAAAACCCTGGCTTTTTTCAGCCTTATCTCCCCCTTTCACAGACAGAGCAACAGTTGCTTCCCTTCCCTTGGGAGCTGCCTTAACAGGTTAAGGATGAGGTATCTGAGGATGTTCAGGACTAAGGGAGAGCAGGAACATGGGCTCTGGGCTGCCTTGCAGTGCAGGAATGTGGCTCGAGGCACTTGAGCCTTCCCCCCGCCAACGTGCTGAGCTTATTGTGAAATGGGGAGACATGATATTTCCCTCCAAAGCTGTAAAACTCCAGCTTGGATGGGGCTAGGACCCCCTCCCTTTTTGGCAGGACAAGAACCTGTCCATGCTGTCATCCTACGTGGCACATCTTGCCGTGGATGACCTCGGAGAGCTCGAGCTCAGGCCAAAGCGCTTAAGAAGAAACATCTGCCCCAGCTGCACTACTGCTGGCAGTTGGGTTGACATCAAGGAAATGTGGTGGTGGCTTCTAGAGGGGCCTTAYCTTCCTCTTCAGGCTGCTTGGTTAAAGCTGTGTTTCTAGCCTACCATGTATTCCAGCTAGGCAGGGAGTGCTTGGCAGGCTCCTCTGGAGAAAGGTGGGGGATTGCCCTCTCCTGGTCAGTCCTCATTACTGCTCGATCTGCRATTTGAACAGAGCTGCCTTCCAAACTTGGTTGGGGAATATCTGGTGTGAAGCTGGAAGCACTGAGTCAGTGCTGAAAAAAGCATCCAAATGTCACCTCGTCCTGGATCCCTGATTGCTTTAGATTTGGTTTTCATTTTTTTTTGTCCCCACGTGCTAGTTTAAGATGAATCAGATCCCACTTTTTTATTGCAAGTCCCACTTGTGGTCCCTTCAGCAAACCAGCTTGCTGATCTCAGACACCTTCTCGTCCACATGCCCCACGCTGGCGCAAAGCCTTTCCTGGCCGTTAGCAGTTACCAGCACTCCCAAACKCGGGGTTTCCGAAGCCGGGACTCGGTGCCTGCAGCCAAGGGCGCTCTGTACGTTGCTTGTTGCCTTTTTTGATTCCTTGCATTGCTCCTTCCAACARCCCAATCAGTAATGGAATAAATCAAGCTGCCTGTGCACCAGCAGGAGGGAATTTTCCGAAGCAAGAGAGGGTGTCTTTATGTCTTTTATCTGATGTAATGCTAAAAAAGGCTCCGAAGCCAAGCTCAATGCCGTCATGTTGAGTGGTTCCCTCTCTGTCCCTTGCAGCCCCGTTGGGTCATAGGTTTCTAGCAGTGKTTTTTGCTGAGGCTTGGAGAAGAGACAGGCTCTCCACCCCACAGAGCTGCCAGTGGTGCTTCCTAAGCCTGCTGCAAGGCAGACACGGGGTTTCTGGAGTAAAGCTCTGCCACAGCAGCTCATTCAGCAAAAGCAAGGCGCACTTGATGTTTTTGAGAAACGGATGAGAATATCGTACTACACCAGCAGGCCAAACCAACGTGGTTTAAATGCTGCCAAGATCTCTCTGCTCTACCGCTCTGCTCACTTGTATTTCCTCCGGGCCGATGACAAAGGCGGCATAAATCTAGTTTGTGTTTACCTGGTTTCATTTCAGCTCTTGAGATGTGACGCCCCGCACCTCGGCAGGGCGCAGAGACCCTCCTGGGCACACGGGCAGCGCTTCCAAGGGCAAGCAGCACCCATGCCATGTGCTAGCCTTGCCTGTGGTATCCAAATCCAACGTGCTGCAGGTGCCTCCCTGACCTCCTGGTCTGCAGCTGCTCCCATTAGTGCCTGGGCCAGGTGACCCTTGTTGGCCAAATTGCCTCCGTGCTCACTGCTGGTCACAGGTGGGGTTGGAATYGGGTGTGTTCTCCTGGCTTCTGTGTGAAACACGGTGAGGTTTTTCAGGAAGAAGCAGCTGGTGGCTGTGGATGGAGGAGACTGTGCTGGGTCTGGTCTGATGGTGCTGAAGCTGGTTTTGGGCACAGCAGTTCCTCACGTGAGAGAGCGGCTGTGAGCGGGAAGCCAAGGTAGGGTTTCCTCACACCCTCTTGGGAAGGGGACCCTGGTCAAGCTGGGTTGGATATGATTTTTTTGGTAGGATAAAAAAGTTCTTGGTGTGTGGTGAGCAGCAGGTGCCTTTCTAGGTTAGGGATGGACCTGTCTGACATGTGGATGGAAAATGCTGAAGGAAAGGCTTTGGGAAGGGGCCATGTCATGGCAGGTTGTGCTCCCACGGTGCTGCCACCACCTCGACCTCCTGCGGGAGCGGGAGCAGGAGCTCCTGGCCGAAAGCAGCCCCTGCTTCAGAACCTCCTGTTGCACATGGAGCTCCATCCATTACTCCACGGGGGCCGGCGCGAGGGCCGAGGCCGGACGGATCGTGCAGATGGGCCCGTTTCCCCCCTTACAGCCATGGGCAGGTTTGTGCCAGGCTCGGTCCTTCCTCGGAATGTCCTTCCCCCGTGCGGGGCCATGGGCAGCGCGGGAGGAAGCGGCTCTTGCTGCCCCCCGCTGCTTTACCTGGTGAAACGAACCGGCCCCCTTTCTTGTCCGGGGATACTCCCTGGGGGATAACGGGGCCCCTGAGGGACCGGGGCAATTTCGGATGTTGGCAATGCAAGTTTTGCTCGGGGTGCCCCTGCATCCCTACCCCCTCCACGTGCTTCCCGAGGGGGCAGGACAGGAGAGCTGAGGGGCCCGGCCGGGGGCCCTTAGGGGCCTCCTCCCGCCTGCAGCAGCGGCTGCTCCGGCTGCTCTTTGCCCAGGAGGCCGCACGACTGGACCTGGTGCCTGCGGCTGCCCCGACCCGGTGGCTCTGGCTGTGGGATTCCCTGGTTTCTTGGTTTCCCACAGGGGCCGTGGGGCTGCTGGAGGGAGGAGGTGGCAGAGGGGGTCGCTGCGTCCCTGCCACGGAGATCTCCGTCCTGTTGTTAATTAAGAGACGGATCCTGGTTGCGCAAAGCCCGCGTCCGTCTCTATCCACCTTTCCCAGCTTGGCCTGCGCCGTAGGTGCCCTCAGCACGTGGGGATTCCTGGGACTTGGTGGGAAAATTCCCAGGATAAAAATTCCTGGATGGGATTGCGCTGGCGGGAACAGCCCCCAGGCCCGGGCAACATGGCAGGACCCAGCTGGGGATCCTRCCCCACTCCCCAGTGAGCGGTGGCRGGGAATTGCCTTGAAAGGCAGTAACTGGCTCTGGTTCCTGCTGGCCAGCATCCAAATGCCCCTTTTAACCTTTTTTTTTTYYTTTTTTTTTTAAATCTTTATGGGAAGTGGTAGCTCTGCAGAAACGGGAAATCCCGCCCAGAGCAGCGCTGGGCCTGGCCCCCCTGCACCCGCGCGGGAGGCTGCGTCACGGCGCTCTGCCGGCACGCGACACACACGGTTTATTTGGGAATAAGAGCAGGAAAACAGTGGGTTTTGCCAGGAAAGGTGCTCTGTGCGCCTCAAGAAAGGAGTAATAACCATAACCCCCAACGTGCCGGCCGGCAAGTCCTGGGAGTGTGTGGGGGGGATGCGGCGCAGCGTGCTGGCGGCGCCGGCCGTGGTGGCGGGAGGAGGAGGAGGAGGAGGCCGATGCACACGAATTCCCTCCTAGGCCGTCTGCGGTGCCTGTGTTGCCTCCTCTTCGCCTGGCTGCTCCCCGGGCTCAGGACAGGCGTCCTGTGGGGAGCAGGGTCGGCGTCAGAGCCCCTGCACCAGGCCGGGGGGCTGCGCCCCTCGCGCGGGTCGCGGTCGTTTTGGGGGGTTTTCCTACCTTTTCRGAAGAGAGGAATATTTCGTCGTCGGCGAACTGGTGGCACGCGAGCTGCGCCCTGAACTCCTCCAGCTGCTCCTTGCTCACGTTGGGCGAGCGCGCTGCGGCACCAACGGCGAGAGGGGTCGGGGGTGAGGAGAGCACGGAATAAAGTGGCCTCCTTGGCCTGCTCCATGGCCTTGGGGTGAGGAAGGAGCCTCTGCTCCCACGGCTGGAGCCCCCTCGGGCCTCGTGGAGGAGGGAGGGCAGGAGCAGGGGCCCRGGCCGATCCTGAGGCTTTCCAAGCGGTCAGGATGGGCCTTTAGGACTGGGGAAAGTGCAGAAAAGTAGCAGGAAAGTGAAAAACCTGCCTATGGCAGATGGCTGCGTGTGTCCCCGACTCCCCCTCAGCATGGCCTGGGGGCCTCGCACCCTCTCACTGTCCGTCCCCGCGCAGCCGGGAATCGGGACCTTGCGCTCCGGGTTCGGATCGTGGGGCCCGGCTCAACGCTACTCACCCGAGAGGCTGAGGCCGGGGTAGCCGTTGTTGACGTGCCTCAGGATGAGCAGGTCCTTGCTGCTCTTGATGAGGTGGGCCATGGCGGTCACCTGGCCGTCCACTGGGCAGGGGGCAGCGGCGTGAGGCTCCGGCCGCGCGGGGGGACGTGCAGGGGCCGTGGCGCGGGGGCGCTCGGCCGCGGCTTACCGTGCATCAGCGTGTGGTTCTGCCGGAAGACCTGGATGGTGCTGCTGTTCCTCGTGACGCACGTCTCGTTCCTGGGGGCAGAGGGGCCCGGCGGGGTGAGTGTGTGGCCACCAGGGTCCCTAGGGTGGCCCCGCAGCCCCAGCGGGGCTCATGGCCTCAGGCGCCACGGCCTTACACTCGCATGATCTCCGTGACGTTGAGCTCGTCCGGGTGGCTGCCGGGGTGGAAGAAGAAGGTGGCGTGCTTCACGGCGCGCAGCTCCTCCAGGTGCGGCGGGTACTTGGAGGAGCCCATGAGGTAGATCCACTTGCCCAGGAGCTGTGCGGGAAGCAGAGGGGACGTGTGGGCTGGGGCCGCACCGGCTGCTTCGCCCTTGTCCCTCCTCTGCTCCCCGCGGCTTTTGGAGCACCCTGAAATCACCCACTGCCTCACCCCCAGCTCTTATTTATTATTAATTTCTAGGAAAATAATTATTAATTTCCAGGAAATTATTAATTTCTATTAATTAATATTAATTTCTAGGAAAAAAATGTCTAGGAAAGCGGGTGAGAAGCTGAGGCCCCGCTGGGCTTCGCCCTGGTTTCCCACAGCGAGGGCAGCTGCCTCCTTACCCCGGTGAGGGTCTCGTTGTCCAGCTCGGCGGGGACGAGCGGGGCGCAGGTGGGCAGCACGGCCGCCCGGGCCAGCGCCAGGGCGAGGACGGCGACGAGGACGGGCAGCATCGTGGCGGGCGGCGGGGGAAGGCGGCCAGCGCGCGGCTGCCGCGCTGCGGCGTGCGGGCCCTTATATAGAGCGGGCAGCGGCCGTGCCCTGGCTTCACCTCGCCGCTGTTTGCTCGGCGGGTGAAGCAATAGCCAGGTTAAAGGCGGCAGCGGCGCTCGCGTGGAAAAGGCGCCTTTCGCCACCGCGGCGGCTCTTGTTCTCGAGAGCCGCACGAAGCGTGTGGGTGTTTGGCAAAGCAGCGCGCTGGCCCCGTGTGTGTTTAAGCAAAGGGATTTGGAGGGACGGCCAGGACCTTCCTATGTCTGTGGCGACAGCTCCACGACGCTCGAGGGGATGTGGATGCTCAGGGAATGTGGATGCTCAGGGGACAGTCATGGTGCTGGCCACAGTGCTCATCAGTGACTGCTTTTGGGGCTAGGTGTGGGGATGCGCGTGTGGTTGCAGCCACCATGACCTCCTTTGGGGTTCGGGGGGGTATTAGACCCCAGGGGGAGCCACCGTTTGCCCCCCCTCAAATCCCCAGGACAAGCTCATCCCAGGCAGCGATGCCCAGTGGAGACACGTGCCCGTGGCYGTGTCCCCATCAGGTGTGCGGAGCAGGGCAGCCAGCGGTGCTGCCACACGGGTGTCCGGGATGATGCTGCACAGGCACCTGCGGGGCAAACGTGATCTTGGTTTGCTGGGTCCACATATGGTGATTTTTGCTTTCCAGGGATGTTATCGAGGTCTCTGCTCCTCTCAGTGCAGCAGCACGAGCTGTGAAGCGCAACCATGGCCATTGGGAGTGCTGCTTAGTTCAAGCATGRATGSAAAGGGCTGGTGGAGCAGCACTYGCTTGGGATGTGTTGGCTGTTGGCACAAGGTGAAGGAGTAACTGGGGCACTAGGCTCAGACTTTAAGAAGTTCTACGAGGTGCAAATCTTTATTGGAGATATTGAGGTTGGCAAATCCGTAATTAGGTTCTCTTGGTTAGTTGCTCAGTGGTTGGAATGAAAGCCACGTCCCCCGCAGCCCCAGTGCCCGGTGCGAGCGGGTTTTTCCCTCCGCCTGCTGCCTGGCTGCCCCAGCCTTGCGCTGCCGGGAACTTGTGCAACCCGGGGCCGAGCAAACAGGGCTCTGCCCCTTCCAGGACGCGCTGTCCGGTGGTGCCATGGGGTGGAAGCCGAAGCAGCTCCCGGCACATGGGACCGCGGTGCCCRCGAGCTCCCAGCTTCCCGGTGAGCGTTCCCTGAGGTCTTGGGCTGGGGCCAGACCTACCACTGAGCAGGAATAAGTCAGGTTCCAACGTGAGCTTGGGGCAAGGCTGGAGGTTCACAGAATCACAGAATGCTTAAGGTTGGAAGGGACCTCTAGAGATCATCTAGTCCAACCTTCCCGCTCCATCAGGGATACCCAGAGCACAGGGCACAGGGTGGCCTCCAGGCGGGTTTGGAAGACCTCCAGAGAAGGAGACTCCACAGCCTCCATGGGCAGCCTGTTCCAGGGCTCTGTCACCTTCACAGGGAAGAAGTTCTTCCTCACATGGAGATGGCACTACCTGGGTTTCAAATTGTACCCTTAGCCCCTTGTCCTGTCACYGGCCACCACTGGTTCTCAGCCCTAGGGCTGGGAAAGCTCCGTGCCGCYGTCAGGAAGCGTTTGGGATTGCGCTGCTTGGCGGCAGCTCCCACCGCAGCCAGGGACAAGCCCGGGCACACAGCGGAGCGGGAGCAACGACCTGTTGGGGCTCCCCGGCCGCTTGGTGCCTCTCACCTGCTCCCGGTGCATCACGAAGCAGCAAAGAAAAAAAATCACAGAAATCCCATCTCATTGCCTCAGTCTTAAATATTTATTTAAACTCCAAGGAAAAAAAAAAAAAAGAAGAGAAGAGACTAGGAAGAGCGATAGGAAGAGCGTCAATGAGCACAACTGGTCGCTGCAACCTCAAGGCAGGCGCACGAGTGTGAGCGGCAGAGCCGGCGGCGCCGCGCGGGCAGGGCGAGCAGCGGGCGCCGCGCGCTGCTGGTGGCCCCGCGTCGCACCGAGGTATTTCTGCGCGAGGGCCGAGCACCGGCCGCAGGGCGAGGTATTTGAGAAAGCTCCGGTTAACCTTTCGAGATCTCTTTTTTTTTTTTTTTTTCTTTTTTTTCTTTTTTTTTAAAAAAAACCAACAAACCAGCAGGCCAGAAGTGAAAAGAATACACAAAGAGAGACTCACATAGATATATTTTTTTTTCCTCAAAAAAATAAAATCCATAGTCCAAACGAGACATGAAAACTCCAAACAGGCACTGAAGCGTTTCTGATACAGTACAGCTCCGATTACATCAATATTATTCCTTATATAGAATTAAAGATTACCATAATTATCCTCTTTAAAAAAAAATCCTCCAAATTTACATATAGAGACTAGATTTCTACAAAACTTAWCAAAACAAAACCCCTCCAAGCCCGGCTGGGTTCTGAAACAAGGTACCATCATTTCAGTCTTGACAGAGGGGGCCAGACTAAAGGGCGGCAGAGCTGGGGTTTTAAATACGAGATTAGACCAGGAAATCACTGCGYGCGAGAGCCGGCCCGGACACGCGGCCGACGCCAGTGCAGCAACACGAGCTACGTAGCGACCGCCTCCAACCCCAGCGCTCTCTGAGGCTTAATGCTTACAGCGTCTGCGGATGAGCTGTATCCCTCACTCCTCTCCAAGGCAGTGAAGTGCTGTTTATTTCATTTTTTTTTCTTTTTAAATAGCAGTATTTGCTTTGAAACGCAGCTGGTTGAGTTATTCCGGACGCACCGAGTTGTTGTGCATCACTGACACCCACGGCAATTAAAGGATCCCTTTTAAAGGTGACTCTTGCTCGGATTTAGCTGTGATCACAACCTCCTCTCCTCCCCGAGAGATGGTCCTATGGGTTTTTGGGGTCTGTGGCAAGACATTGTAGCACCTTCACAACCTTAAATAAAGTCATATATATAAAATAACACACTTTTTTTTTTTTTTTTTTAAGAGCACCAGAGATTTCACAGTGAGAGGTAGAAACAAATCAGACGAGCCCATCCTCTCGCTCTCTCTATTTTAGCACCAATCTCTTTCCCTCTCCTCCTTCCATTCCCCCCTTTCAGCTTTGGGATTCTCCCATACTCTAACACCACACACAAGAAGGGACAGTTATTAAACTCACCCATGGAAGGAGGAATTTAGGTTTATTTTTTTTTGTTCTTTTTTTTTTTTTTTTTGCTTTTTGCTTTAAATAATATAATATATATATTTTTTTTGTTTCTTCTAATATTGCACATCAAAATGCTTCCGGCACACAGAGCAGCCAGATTCAACGTGCAGCTCCGCCTGGGAGAGCCTGATGCAGCATGTGGCCGTCCAGAAGGCGACAAGCTCTGAGAGGGAAGCTCTATCAATTAATTACCTTTCAAGGGCAAGAACATTTGGTAACTCAGGAACCAGGTAAGACAAAATGGAGGAAAAACAGAACCAAGCCCAACAATGCACGCTGCAAGTTTCTTGAGGTTTCTCTCGACRTTTTCTTCTTTGGTCATGGAAAAAGCTTTGTGTGTGGAGCTGCTTGCAACATCTAGTTCTCCCAATCCCTTTTCGCTGTTGGCGGCCCGACTGACACCCGCTCCCCCTGCGGCCTTGTTATTCCTCCTTCAAGAATCTGCTGAGTTCAGTAGATCACGGGTTCTTTGAGACCTTGAGCCAACGGCTAGAGCGACGGCTGGCCCAAGCGGGGCCGCCCGGCTGTCCTCACCGCGGAGAGGTGGGAGACCCTGTGTAAAGACGGAGGCCGAAGACGGGGGGTGAAGCCTTGGAGCCTGGTTTTGATGGCGTTGTTCAAAGGAAGCACACGGGGCCGACCTCGAGGTGATACTGCTTTCCTGGCTCGGATGGCGGAAGGTTGTAGATGTTGACGATGGGCAGCTGGTGAGGGTCCTGGGTCCGGAAGGAAAAGAGAGTCCGATGCCAGCGTCCGTCCTTGATCTGTGCAGGGAAGGAGGAAGATAGGGAAAAAAAACTGATTAACTGGGGAAGGGCGAGGGCTGGAGAGGAGGGCGTTTCGCTAAGGTGTGTGCTTGGAAAGGCCAGTGCTGTTCCTGGGGCACGGCAGGTCTGGAGTGAGGAGCAGAAAGCATTTCTGGGAGCTCTTTATCCGCTTCGGGTTGGTAGAAACTGAACTGGAAAGAGCGTCACAAGATGGCAGCCACCTAAGGAGGGAACCCAAAATGCAAACCTGCTGCTCTTAACTCAGCAGGACATCGGGAGTGAGCTGAGCCCCCTTTCTGGCACTTTGCTGCTGGTGCACATGACCTTAAGTTTAGGGGAATTTTTCCTATTTGAAGACAATCTTCATGCTGGACTACAAAATTAAAAGTTTCTGAGCATTGGCAGAGTCATCAACTAGACTTTTTCACTTTATTGTTCTGTTTGGCAGTGGTTGTGGAGCAAGAAGCATAGACTTAACTTGAGCCTTTTGTGCACTAAGTGGTTTGAATTATAATGGTGCCTCTCCATCTCTCCCCGCTTCCAGGACAACGTACCTTGCAATCATCAGCTGCCACTTCTGGCCTGAGCTGCCCGCCTGCCTCAAACATCTGTCCGTTCGAGGCCTTAAAGCGCACGGCTTTTTCCGAAGGTTTTTCRGACAGCCCTTCCCGCCACACGGACGTATTGAGGCAGTGGATGGTTATGTGCTGGACCACCTCGGAGCTCAGAAGTCGAAGGAAGTTCATCTGGACTCTGCCAATGTCGAAATCCAGCTGGGAAGGTAACAGAGACGTTAGCTCATACTCCCCTCAAAGGTGCAGAGAAAGTGGGAGGTCTTAAGTAGGAGAAGATTAATATGAAGTTCAAATTCAAACCTTGTTTCTGCAAASAAGCAAAGCAACAGAGTCTAGTGGGGACAGCAGGTGAAACCAAATATTGCTATTGGTGCTTTTGGGCACAGGTACTTTGCAAGAGAAATTGAAAAGCTATTCCAGAGAAATCCTGTAGCATTAATTTTAGCAG